TTGATATAATAAATAAAGAAGGTTTAAGAAAATATGGAGGTCGCTTTGATGAATTAATATTTACTAATGACAAAATTGATATTATTGATGAAAATTTAATTATTCGTAATACAACCAAACAAATAACTATAGTTGTTGATAAATCTATGGTTGACAGCCATGATATTGATATGTTTAAAGATTTAGATTATTTTTCAAAATTGTATATTGGGAATGTACCCAAATATAATTTAAAAAAAAATATTTATGATTAATAAAATAAAAACACCTAACCAAGCAGCTAAGTTTTTAGTATCACAATCTAAATTCTATAAGAAAGAGTCAAAAATTGGTATACAACCAACTTCAATATCCAGACGAAAATTCCCATCAACAACAAAAAAAGAATTGGTCATAAAATCAATTTTCACAAAAAAGACTTAGATCTTTATCATTTAATATAAAAAAAATTTACCCAATGCTACAAAACATTAATTAAAAATTATATTTTTTTTAAATATATATATTTCTTTATATAGATATGGTATGTTAATATTTATAACCAAAAATTTATCTTATTGTAATATTTTTAATATAAAATTTGAAAATAAAATTTATATATATATATTTATTTATCTATTTTTACGGCGAAATTTATTATGTAAGCTAAATTTTATTTTTATTATAAATCATATATATATAATAATAAATAGTTATACAATAACAATATTTAATTTTTTGTGTTGTTTGATGCTTGAGTTTAATGAAGGAGTCTTGGTCTTAATTGAATATCTAATTATTTTAGTTATAAATTTAAAGATTAATTATACCATTTAATATTTTTCTAAAGTTGGAAAAATGTAATTAAAAATTAATAATATGAATATAACAATTATAATCAATTCTAAGCTGCCTTAATGAATCTGTATTCTGAAAACGATGATTAGATTAGGATATAATTGTAATATAGCAAAGATTAATTGCATAATTATTTTCTTTGTTGGATGAAATATTGTGATACTGACGTTTCCATTTGAAAAGATCAATCTGAATAAATTGGTTGTTTTAATGCAGATATATTTTTTTAACAACATGATGAATATTAATTAAATAGTAAATATTTTATTCATTAAGTGTGTATCTTTTAGGTTTTAAAAAATGGCATACAATTCAAGCAATCTTTGTTTTTCGTTTATAGACAGATAAAAAACTTTCTGCTTCTTCTGGACTTGAGATATTTGATATTATGCTAACTAAATCTTTTTTTCTGGAAAGAAATAATTCCCCTACCAAAACCTAATAGAATATCTCTAATTTAGATATAATAATAATAAGTATAAAAATATTAAACATATAAATATGTAAATTTTCATTATATCAAAAATAGCTTAAATTTAAAAATTACTTTCATGAATTATCATGTATTTTTGATTTATTAAATGTGAATGTAGACAAAGAAAACTAAGTGGGATTGTTAAAATGCCTCCCGGCTTAACAATCTGCTACCCGGGTGTGGCTTAGCGGATCTCTTATTTCCGGCTAGAGAGTCCAGATCTTCCTTTGAGGGACCTCGGGACTCTCGGCGAAACTTTTAGATGGCGTAGGTGGGCTCGAGGTAGGGTTTTGATCACTGGTTGAGTTGAGGGTACCATAAGAGATTTGTTTCAATTCGGTGGTGCGGGATAACTGATTAATTGATATCACACTAGGTGATCTATCCCAAAGAGATTGTCTGTGGTCATAATTCCACCGAGTCTTCATATGCTTCTCCTTCCCTCAGACTTTCTACATCAAGGTGTCGGATATCCGGACAATAAAATCGTTGAGTTTTTGATATGGTTTTGACGTAGTACACAATGGGCCCTTGAAAGGTTGGGTATGTGGAGGTGTTGGCTCCCATATAAGGTCTCCTTTGTGTAAGTCAGCAGTTGTGGAAGAGCTTTTCCTGCAGGAGGTCTAACTGAAGTCGGATATCACGTCCTATATATAGTATCGCTGGTGTTTGAGTGGCAGGATTAGGAATGTTCCTATATGGTATTAGGAAGTTGGTTCGTTGCGTTTGAATTTCGGTTTCATATGAAAAGTTTGACTAGGAGGGAGATTTTTAGCTATATGAAATAGGAATTAATCAGTACTAACCAATGTAGTTTATATAGTGAACCAACTAGATCTATATGCACTCTTTCACCTACTTTGTGGGATAAAGACCATGGATGAAATGGAACCCTGGAAGTATTTTCCTTGATGGTCGTAAGTTTCGTGGAACGATAAATTCGTGGACGATTATAGCTCCGTTTGCTGACAATTCATTTCGATTTATATTTTCAAAATTCCAATGTGGTTATCATTGAGGGCCAACCGTCTCGGATGTAATGGTGATAATTTGGGATCCTGTAAAGTTAAGGATTCTATTTTGTTTCTGATAAATGGTATTGGGTTTGTATGCATTGATTGACTTCGTCATCTTGGGGTCTACTTCAAGGGTAACCGGAATAGGCGGCAAGTAATGTTGAAATTGAATCCTGATAAAATGAATCTCATAGTTATAACCTCGAGAATGTCATGGTGGGTTTAATAATTTGTTTTAATATATGGCTAGCAACGATTTGTAGTCGGTGTTTATGGCAAATTGTCTTCCTAAAAGGAAGGGCCTAAATCTTAAACCTTAAAGATTATGGCTAGGACTTCTTTCTCTACGGTGGAATAGTTTACTTTCGCTTTGGATAGTTCGCCATGCATAGGCTGTTGGCCCCTTGATTTCGTTATCCAATAGATGTGATAGAACCAAGTATAGGGATGTGAAGGCCCTGAAACCCCGTATTTTTGCTGAACCCAGCATTCCTGTGCATAGAACGACTCCTACTCTATATGCGGAAGCATCACATGATAGGGTGAGGGTAGTTTCTAATAATGATATAACTAATTTAGCTAAACAAATGGATACTTTTTTTCAAAGAATATTGCGCCAAATTTTGAAAAAACATGCGATATTATATGATCGGTACCACATTAAAACGCTGATTCAGAATGCATATTTAGTTGAAATTAAAAATTTCTGGAGGAAAGATCGTAATCAATTATCTTTACCAGCTTTAAAAGCTGAATTAATGATCAAACATATTTTTAATTATATATTTGTAAAGATTTAAGGAATATGTAACCTAAAATAAAACTAAACAAGAATCTTCCGAAAAATATGAATAAAGATATGTACTGATTTTTTAAATAATATCGCGATCTTACTTTGTTTTATTATTGCGTATTAGATATATTCATATAAATAAAAAAATAATTACCGGAGAAAAATTAATAATATTTGTTATAAATTCTTTTTTTGAATTATGGTTAAATTCTCCCGCTTTGCTTTGAATAAATCTGGCAACCCTGGTCTTGAACCTAAGTTATTTTTCATTAAAAATAAATAAAGTGATTTAAAAATATTATTCATTTTTATTTTTCTTTCAAATTATTGTTTATAGTGGCATATTGTTTACTTTTTTTTGTATAAAGGGGGTAGAGGGTAGTGTTAGTAAAAGCCCGATTTAGGTCGATTTTTCAAAAAGGCCCTATTAAGATTTTAGCTAAAATAATATTATGTAAGCATCGAGATTTTGCAAATAGATGTCCAAGCATTTCTGCCAGCTAAGTGCAAAACCATTAGGCTGACATAATGTTATTTTGGTTATATCTTGCTTGGGCCGTTTTTAAAATCGACCCGAATCGTGCTATTTAGAAACACTAGTAGAGGGAAGTGGTATTGTTTCAATAAAATTTAACCAAACCAAAAAGTGAGGCTTTTCAATAAAAAATCATATGGGAAAGCCCCCTCTCCCTTCCGTAAGAAATTTCAATTATTATTATTGTTATTTTGTTCTCGAAAATTATTAGCCGAAATTTAGGATTGTTTTAATATTAAAAAATTCTAAAAGTGTACCCTATAATACATAATTCCAAGAAGATTGTATAGGAAAGATTTCGAACCAGGTCTTAAGTAAAAAACCAATCTGATATTATTTTTTACGAACCGTAATTTTTAACCAAACTAATATTCTTTATCAGTTAAAAAATGCCCTGCCTTAGAAAAAGGAAATGCAAGGTTGAATTCTAAAAATATATCTTCGAATTCTTGGAAATATCTAAATTTGCGCCATCAACATTTTTTAAATTTCCTATATTTTATTAGTCGAAATTTTATTTTTGAAAAAACAAAGGTAGTGAATGATTGTATCTGCAAATAATTTACAATTTTTAAATTTCGGACAAAAAAAAATAACACTATTCATTTTTAAAAGAAATTTATTTATTTATTTTTCAATTACAAACATTTTACGTAACATAAACAATTATGTTAATTAAAAATTAAGATACGTTACTATATTTTGTAAGGAAAAATTTCGCTACCTCCATAAACGCTAAAAGAAAATCAAATTTAAAAGATCTTTTTTTAAAGTGAATTAATAATAATTAAACTCGAAATAAAATAATTTAAAAATATTGTTTACTTTTAATATTATCTGAAAAAACATGAGATGATGAAAATAATGAAAATTAAAACGTTAATAATTATCAAAAGAAAGAAAAAACAGATCCTGCTGATTCCCCTATATGGAATAGGAATTTAATAAAAGATGAAAAATGTGTTTTTTTTCTATCTGATTTTTTTGCGTTTCATAATAAAAATAACAATATTAATTTAATTTTATATAATAATAAAAAAAATATTGTTTATATTTATACTTTATTTTTATAAAATATAATTTCATTTAATTTACCATCCTGGAATTAAATTCACTTAATTCTCTTTTTTTACCCCAAAACCAAACAATTTATACTATTAAATTATTTACAAAAAAACAGTTGGCCCGCTAACTCAAAAAAAATAAATTACATAAGAGATAAATTTCATAATTAAAACATAATATTCTATTATTTATGCGTGCACGAAGTTGGAAAATATATATGAAGATTTAGTTCATTCCATTCCATCCTTTCTCCTTTAAATCATTTTATTTTCATTTTCTCTTGGTGGAAATTCTTGAACTGTATTGGATTTTATCCGTTTTTTTAAAATAGTTTATTTTTATTTTTTAATAACATATTGTCAAAGAAAATTAAAATATTTTAAACGGTAATAAATTTTATTTTTGCTTTATTTTCGTAATAAAATTTTTAAATTTAAATTATCGACGGAAAATAATAAAGATCTCAATTTTTTTTTATTAACCTCTTATCTATTCCTGAAAAACTTATTCAGTAAACAATAAATTTGTCGAATCCCATGGCAGGAGAATTATTAACTATACGGATGATCAGAAGTGGAGATTCTATTCCCTGGGGATTTAGACTTCAAGGCGGAGATGATTTTTCTATTCCGCTTTCTATACAAAAGGTATTATTATTTTTAGCATTTACTGCAAACAAATTTCTGATTTAATCTTATTCTGATCTTACCGATTTCTTCTACAATATTTTTTTTTTAGATAAGCTCTTCCTTGTTCCTTACGATTTAACAAAAAATATATAAATCCTATTATACCTTTTATACTATATTTCTTAAAATTAAATGAACTTAAAAAATTCGAAAAATGATAAGATAGTAGTTTATAAATTAATAAAAAATAACATTTAATTTTAATTTTTTTTACTGGTGAAGTGGTAAAATTTAAAAAAAAATGGTTTAAAATTTCTCATCTATTATCTGTTTTTTATTTAAAAAAATACATGAAATTCTTTTAAATTTGGCCCAGAGGTAAAAAGGTTCATTTGCCCTATGATGTTATAATTTAATTAAAATTTGATTAAAATTTATTTTAAAAAACAAATTGGTGCCATTATATATAAAAAAAATAATTCATTCAGGTGGGCCTAATATTATATTCTTTAGCAAGCCTGGGCCGTGGAGTTTTTGGAATTAATAATTTTTATAAATATTAAATGATTTTTTTAGTCTCACTTCCGAGCTCCCCTACTCTGTCTACAAAAATCCCTTTCTACAATTTTTTTGTTAAAATTTATAATATTTTACAAAGCTAAAATTCTTAAACTTCTATTTTCACAAAAAAAATCGGAACTTAAATGCTTTAGGCTGCATTCAAAGTGGAGACGGATCCGTTTTTTACATCCGTTCCGTCAAAAGTCAATCTCATTAAAAATGATATATATGTTCATAGTGCGTCCGTTCCTATACCTTTCGTCTTAAAACGGATCCGGCAAATTTTGAAGTCAAAACATTTTGACTTTTTGATCCGGCAAATTATATAAAGCGTTATAACGTTACGTTTAATTTTTTTAAAATGAAATCAATATATATATCATTTTTAATGAGATTGACTTTGACGGAACGGATGTAAAAACGGATCTATCTCCACTTTGAATGCAGCCTTAATTAGCACTATTTAAAGACAATTTAGTAATAATAGAGTGAAAGCAATAATTCGTCAGGGTTAAGTGATCATGATAATCATAATATAAAATCTTATTAACTTGATGATTAATAATCATTATTTCTATTTTTTTTTTTTAAATGTATAATATTTTAAAATATTTCTATAATTATAAGGTTTTTATATTTATAAATGGTAAACATGATTAATCTGAACCAAAACGAATATCAGTCAGATAAAAACATTTTTGGGTTGTATAAGTTTTTTACTTTATATTTATAGTAGGTATTATTGATAAATTTTATAAGTAAAATAAAATAGCATAGTCAATCTATGAACTTAGAATGATCTATATAAAAATTAATAGAGATACAGCTTTGTTTTTAATTTTTAGGTTGTTTGGGCTACACATTTATATTAAATATATTTGATTAAAAGCAATCTTTTATCTGCCACGCACAAAAATATGCCCACTTATCCCCGGGAACTCATACATGTTGGCACATATTTCTGGTCAAATCATCAGATTTTTCAAATTTAAAAATCGTCTCAGTAAATGATTTAAAATTGAGAGATTCCGAATCCCTATAGATGTTATATCCAGTGCTGTAGTCCTAAAATTTTAGGCTGGGCCACGCTATTACTTTAAAAATAGTAAGGACACTCTAAAATGGGTTAAAAATGGAGGCTATTTTTTGTTATTCCAAGAATTTGAGGCAAATATTTTTTTAATTTTTATTTCAAAAATAGTTTATTTCGAAGCATTTTATATAAAATTATATATAATTATATAAAATAGCTATATAAAAATTGAAATAAAAAAAATATATATATTCAATTAGGGATCTGCATCGGGCCTAATTTTTCAAGCCCGGCCCGGCCCGAAATTTTTTTAAATATAGAAATTAATTTTTATAATTACTCAAAATAAAAGACATATGTTATATGTCTTTTAGTTTCTATAAATAAAATCAAATATTTTTATTTTACATAAAAAATTCAATATAAAATTTAATTTAGATACATTTTAAAAAATTTCCAAGATCCGACCCGACCCGGCCCGAATTTTTTTAAAAAATATTAGTACGAGCCGGGCCTAACTTTGTAGATCTCTATATTCAATAAAAAAATTATGTAATTTTTTAGAATACATTTCATAATTATATAAAATAATTTATAATATATTGCATAAATCGGAATAGATAAAAAAAGCGCATGATTTCTTGATTGGTTATCGTTTGCACAATGCAGACCTGTGACTTGTCAGCCACTTATTAATATATGGAGAAGAATTGCATCTACTAAGAGTTGACTCCCGTTAAAGTTAATCTTCAATAAACTGAAAATTTGTTTTAATAAGACTTTCAAGCAAATTCGTCATAATGCCGGTTCCATCTGCGGCCTCGAAATGTCAATTATGGGTCATCTACCCGTTTAGCTATCGGTCTTGAACTGGCCGCAGCTTCGAATTGGATTAGGGATTTTTATCAAGTTCTTCCATGATTGATTCCTACTGACTTCTGACAGTGGTAATTTTCTGTTTCTATTCCTTCTTGGAACAATACTGAGTCTCATTAATATATTTTCTGTGTCACAGTTGGTTTCATAGAGGTCTATCCACTAGGAATCGAAAATCGTGGAAATCGGAAACCGTCCAGGGAAAAACCCTTTCCTGTTCGTAGCTGCAGTAAGTTCCAGGCCGGTAGCTGAGATTAAGGGTAGCGTTTCCAGGCCTACCTCACTGGGCAGGAAGAATTCAAGGGAAGCATCGACCTCACCAACATCTGCCTCAATTAAAATGGAAACAGATAGATGTCAATTGACTTGACATTTCAGAAGCCGCGGAAGGAACCAGAGAAGCGGTAGCTTTGGTCGCGGAAAACAGAGGCGGAAACGCCAGATGATTAGAAAATAATGAGGAATTGTCGAACACCGCCCATCTTCATAGGAGAAGATTTGGATGATTGTTTGAATTCGTATTTTCGAAAGCGGGGCTCAAGAATTTATTTGAGTACTTATCGATGATTTTGAGTTATAAAAACGGGTGGAGTTAATGTAAGTGTGAAATAAAATTGAATAAAAATTTTAATTATTAATAGTTAATTGTTTTATAAAATTATTTAAAAATTATCATATCACATTCATTAATTCCTGGATTAATTAGTCGACTAATCGATTAATTTGGTCACTCAGAGTCGATTTCGATTTACTCAAAACTCGACTTGAGTCGTGTTTTAGTTGAATAAATTTAGTTGTTAAACAACGCTAATAATTATAATCAAGAAATAACCGTTTTTGATTATTAAAAAAATGTCTATGCTCAATAAAAGAGGTACAAATTTTTATTTAAGCTATTCCCTTTGCCCTCCCTTTCTGAAGTCAATGCACAAGGGACCTATCATACAATTCGGAAGCAAAACTGTTAGATTTGAAGTTTTAAAAATGCAAATTGTATAAATATTTATGAGTTGTATCGAAATAACGAATATTATATATAAATTATAAGGTTTTCATAAATATCCACTATTTCATGTATAATAAATAAATTATGAAAAAGGTTTAATTATTAGTCGATTCATTAATTCACTTCCACACTGTATAATTATTATATATTTTTCATTTATTAGTATATAAAATGCAAAGATAATTATTTAATTTTTATTACCATTATCAATTGAAAGATAGATATCTTTCTTTCTTATTATCAAAAGTGTCAGTTTTCATTTTCTATCATGGCTATTTACACAAATTCATATAGATAATTCCATATATTATATATAATAATGATTTATTTAGTCCAAACACTTTAATCACATATTATAAAAGAGATAATATATTCATTTATATTTATGAATTCACATAATGTATATATATATATCTTTTAAATAGGTTATAAAAGGTTCAATAGCAGAGAAATCTGGTCTGTTTCCAGGTGATCAAATTTGCAAAATCATAGGGAAAAATGCGGATTTATTATCTCATAAACAAGCTCAAGATGCCATTATCGCCTCAAGAAATGACCTAGAAATAACTATACAAAGGTTTTATTTTTTTGAGATTAAATTTTTTTTTTCAAGATCATTTGAAAAAAGAGCTATAAAATATGATTATAAAATATAAAATGTCGTTAATGTGGTAGATAATATTTTTGTTTAGTGAGCGAATTATAGAGATTAAAAAGAAACAAAACGAATGAACTTATTATTTATATATTTTGTGATTGTATTTTATTATTTTATATAGTGGTTATATTTTTTTTAGGGCCGTAATATATTCATTATTTTTTTTGTACTTCGTGATTAAATTTTTTATGTCTTATATTTTACGAGTTTTCTAAAAATTATCCCAAACACAAACAAAATTAGTGTACATTTAAAATATCTCTGAGTTTTATAGCTCCACAAATCGGTAAACCCGGCCCCGAAACCCTATAAGTAAGTTTTGAAAAATTGGGACACGCTTGGGCCTAAAAAATAAATCAAATTTATCGCTTAAAAAAATATAATATACGTATTTTAGTCACGCAGTGGCCTTTTTCAATATCTTAGTGACATTTTTTCAATATGATAGTAATCTTTGCAAAACCTTATTTTTTTTCTAGAGGAGGGGAGGGTTTTTAATAATTTAAAAAAAAATTATTATGGGGTTTTTTTTCTGGGGAATTATTTTCCGTGATTCCTTTTTTAGTCACATATCCTAATTTTTTTTTAAAATTTTTGTGGATTTTTATTTTTGGAAAATGTTAAATAAATAATATATTAAGTTTTCTTATAGTTTTGAATATTTATCAATTTATTAAACAATAATAAATTTATCAACCTTATTAATTAAACAATTCTGATTTCCAGATTAATTTATCATTTTTAGAATAAACTTTAAATTTCAAGATTTTTTTTAAATATTACTTTTGGTTTTGCTGATAAAAGTTATAATGCCATAGGGTCACTACTTGTCTAAATTGGTCAGTTTTATTAATGCTCACTTCATAAGGGTTATTTAAGTGATTACATTATAAACTTTTTAGCTACTTCGCTATTTTTAATAAAAATTATGCAGTTATTTGGCCTTACCATTGTTCAAAATGGACCGGATTTATAAAATGCTCATACTCAAGGTTTTTAACTTTTTTTGCTAATAAAAATTATCAAAACCAAAATAAAAGATTATATAAATATTTTATATTTATTCTAAAGGTCGGCGTCAATCGGCCCCATAAAAAAATTTTACAAATTTATCCGGCCTAACCTTCGGGTTGGGCTCTGCCGACCTTTAATTTATACACAATTTTTAAAATACTATAATTTTATAAAAATTATAATTATACTGGATGAAAATATGATTATGTTTTATAATGCATTTTGCCTAATTAAATTAATTATCAAAGGGGAGCGCTCCTTTTTAGACAAAATTCGGAGCAGTGTTTAGCTCCCTGAAATGGTGAAAGCGAGAGCTATATCTCTTTGAAAGAGTAGGAACCGGAGATAGCTCCTTTAAAAAAAGGAATGTTAACAACTCTTAAAATCATTGTATTAAGTGTATACCTAATAATATAACTTTTAATTTTCAATGATTCATTGTTCATAAATGTTATATATTGTTTTAACAATCTTGTAAAAACTACAATTGATTTTAATGCTATATTAACTTTTTAGATTTCCCCTCACCTAATCTATCCTGTTTGAAATTTATACCGGATTATGATAATTTATTTTAACATTTTTTTTCATTCAATCAACTACTTAATCTTATCTGATTTATAAGTGCTAAAAGGAAAATAAGTACTTATTTAAAGTTAACATTACACTCACAATTCATTTTTAGTTTAAAAAAAATTATATATGAAATTTCTTACTACTTATTTTTTTATATATTCGAAAATTAAATACGCGTATTAATGAATTACATCTCAAGGCAGAGAATTGTACTCCTAAGCAATGACGATATGACCCTTTTACCCCCTCCTCTCTAAAATGAAATCCAAATCAAAACTATCCCCTCTTCCAATTTCAATGATCCCCCTTAGAAGTCTCTGGCACACATTCACACTTACTCTCTAGATAATTTACCATAGAGACCGGCTCAAATATGCCCGTGAATAATTATTTATTTTAGAAATATTTAAAATGAAAAATGGATTGTTATAATAAAAATGTAAGAACTAAAGCTAAAAATATAAAAAGTTCCACAAGAAACATGTTGAATAGTTAATACGAATTGAACCGAATATTCTTTTTTTAATTATTCATTTTTATAATGATAAAATTATAATATTTATGACTAAGAATAAATGCATCTTTACTAGTGATGTTAAAAGTTACTTTTGAAACATAAATAGTTACAGTTACTAGTTACATTGGCAAAAACATAACTAGTTACAGTTACTAAAGTAACTAGTTATTAGTTACAGTTATTTTCAATAGTAACTAGTTACTTACTTTATACATCATTAATATGCGCATTATTTATTTATTCAATGCATTTATTTAATATAAAAAAAATTCGGATAAACAAAGTATAATCAGTTATTTAAAATAATATACAATTTATTTATATAAAAAAATATCGCAAAATTGAATATTTACATCGATAAAAATATATATTTGCATTGAAAAAAAAACATTTATTTTTCATAAAAATTAGAATCTAATAAATGTTTATTTGCTTTTAACAGCAAATTAATTTCAAAGTTATTATCTAGGAGACGTGCTCGTTTATCTCCAAAAATGAGCTTACCTAGACTGAACAAGCGCTCTACGGGAGCACTTGATGTTAGAACAACATTATATTTAATAAAGAGTAATTTTAACTTTGGAAAATCGTTATAAAGAAAAAGTGTTGTTATTATATTTGATAAAGTTTTCTATAAGTTCATTATCCAGAATATTTTGGCGCTTTAGGTCAAAAAATCCAACTACATCAAGTGATGTTGGTTTTGAGCATGATTCATTCGTCTGGGATTCACTTTGAGGTATTAAGGTATTTATTAAATTTAAAATTTTCTCCTTGCTTTATTCCTTTCTTGCCTAATCCAAGGCCAGTCAGTTTTAAATAAAGGGTGAAGAATTGCAGCAATGATTGTAGTATTTGGACCGATGGGTCCCCCAGTCTGAATGGGAAAAATACAGTCCGTGATCGGGGGTCCGGGATGGTCGATGGAATCACTTGGACAACGTAGTTAAAATAATATTTTCAAAGTTTATTCAACAAAGTAAAATTACAAAAAAAATATCAATTTTTTTTAAAACGAACGAAAATAATTAATGATCCAAAAAGGTGTTTTGTTTTCAACCTTTATAATTTTTAAAACAAAAAGGAAAAAAAAAGTTGTTATTTAATCGCGATACAATCATTCATGAAACTGGTAAGAACCAGTTTCAAATGCAATATAAAAATAAGATAAAATATATCAATTTCATAACAAAATAAAGGAAATACGGCATTCTCCTCCCCTCTTAAATTGGGCTACCCCGGGGTGGTAGGTCTAAGAGATCTTGTGGGTTATTTGAAATTTGTTGAGTCTGTTTGTACGCAGTCGTTTCGTCTGCAGTACGTTGGGTTGGGTCGTAGGTATATTTCGAGGAGTATACTGAGAGGAGTTATAATTGTTGAAAGTTTGTTTCATTGGGCAATTGTATCTATAATGCCCAACGTTCCCGCAATTGTAACTGGTTGGGTTATCATTCCGTGGGAAATTCCGACGTGGGGGTTGATAGTAATTCTTAAAAGTTTGCGGGGTGTTTTGTACATGCGTATACTTTGTGGGTATGTTTATTTGGTTGCTGTAGGCGTGGTTCGTCTCATTATTTTGGTTAAGCGTTTCGGTCATTTCCCAGGTTTGCGCAATTTTTAGCTTCCCTTTAAACGTTATATTATCGGACGTGATTACGTGACCTCTTATTCCAGAGGATTGTATCCCCGCTCCGAATTGGGAGGACAGGAAAAGGTCCCAGCTGGGGCCTAGATTGCACTGTGAGGCCAAAGCTATCAAAGTTTCCGCATATTCAGTAATCGTTTCGCCATCTTGCTGGATGCGTTGACGAAGCTTGTTGATTGATAGACCTTTGTTGTTATTATTGTTTCCCAAAATCGTTTTTTTCATATTTATCAAATAAAAAGAATAAACCTTCATAAATTGATTTTATTTAATTTAGCGTATATATTTTATGGAATAAGAGTATCGCCTCTGATGGCGATACTCTGAGATAAAATTTTGTTAACTTTCTCTTTATATTTTTTTTATTATTATAAAATTAAATTAAATCAAAAGTTTATATAAAATGAAAAAGTGATTTTTACAATTTCGTTAATGTAATAAATATCATCAGTCATTTACATAAAAATTAATACATCTGTTAAAATAAATCACTTTATCAAATAAAATATACATTAAAAAAGTGTACAATACAACATGCCACCCATTACTAAACCCAAGTGTTAGGGGTGATTGAAAATATATGACCAATAATATACGAAATATAAATACACATCTGACGTTTTTCATTTACTCCAAACTATATATTTAAACATTCCGCTTATTTTGGTGTCTATAAAATTTTCGCCGAAAATAAATTATCTTGATCGACTTTATAATAAGAATTAAGAAATGCGGCTTTATGTCCATAGGAGGACGCCGTTTGATTCGTCTCACGAATAAGAATAAAGAAATGCGGTTTTTTTTTGTCCAAAAGGAGGACGCCGTTTTAGTCGTCTTACGAATAAGAATAAAAATATTATATAATTTCTCCGGCTACAATTTCTCTGTAATACCGTAAATTTATATTTCCCCAATTTGCATAAAGAATAGAATATATTTTTTTAAATATTTCATCATAATTTTCTCCAATTCGAATACAGAATATAATGTAAACAATTTATACTCAAAATTTTCATACACATCTCCCCATTATTATCGGTAAATCATTTAATATAATTTCGAATATGATTTCGCAAACATTATTTGAATATCCTGGAATAATTTCCTTATATTCTTGAATAATTTTATATAAGGATTTAAATTTTTTTTACGAAGTAAACATAACGTATACAATATCTTTACTAAAAAATGGTTTTTATAGGAATTTCATTTCTTTGAAAGAATACCAATGAATAATGTCATAGATAATATAGAAAGTTAGGTAAAGATTTCGAATAATTTGATGCATATATTTTATTCCGCTATTACTTTAATAATAATATTCACTTGTGTTGTATTGTACACTTTTTTAATGTATATTTTATTTGATAAAGTGATTTATTTTAACAGATGTATTAATTTTTATGTAAATGACTGATGATATTTATTACATTAACGAAATTGTAAAAATCACTTTTTCATTTTATATAAACTTTGGATAATTTAATTTTATAATAATAAAAAAAATATAAAGAGAAAGTTAACAAAATTTTAACTCAGAGTATCGCTATCAGAGGCGATACTCTTATTCCAATAAAATATATACGTTAAATTAAATAAAATTTCAATAATTATTAGATTCTTTTATTCAATTTATGATTTTCATATTTATCAAATAAAAAGAATAAACCTTCATAAATTGATTTTATTTAATTTAGCGTATATATTTTATTGGAATAAGAGTATCGCCTCTGATGGCGATACTCTGAGATAAAATTTTGTTAACTTTCTCTTTATATTTTTTTATTATTATAAAATTAAATTAAATCAAAAGTTTATATAAAATGAAAAGTGATTTTTACAATTTCGTTAATGTAATAAATATCATCAGTCATTTACATAAAAATTAATACATCTGTTAAAATAAATCACTTTATCAAATAAAATATACATTAAAAAAGTGTACAATACAACAGTTTTTACGTCCTCTATTGACATTTCCAACATAGGCCTTGGTGCAAAGGCTAACTTTAATTTTGAATATAGGCTGTGACCGTATGATGATAAGAATAAGGATAGTAAATTTGCCTCAGGTTGATGTCGGTGGATAAGCATAAAACGTTCGAGGTAATGATCTGTTGGTTCTTCCGGGTCGTAGATTATCGAGCCCCACGTTGGGCACCAGTGTAGTATTTGGACAAATGGGTCCCCCAGTCTGAATGGGAAAAATACAGTCCGTGATCGGGGGTCCGGGATGGTCGATGGAATCACTTGGACAACGTAGTTTAAATAATATTTTCAAAGTTTATTCAACAAAGTAAAATTACAAAAAAAATATCAATTTTTTTTAAAACGAACGAAAATAATTAATGATCCAAAAAGGTGTTTTGTTTTCAACCTTTATAATTTTTTAAAACAAAAAGGAAAAAAAAGTTGTTATTTAATCGCGATACAATCATTCATGAAACTGGTAAGAACCAGTTTCAAATGCAATATAAAAATAAGGTAAAATATATCAATTTCATAACAAAATAAAGGAAGATGGGAAAACAAAAGAAATAAGTAGAAAAAAAAGAAATAAGTTGTACGGGACAAAGGGGGAGAGAGGTAGAACATAACAATGATGTTGTCATTATCATAAAGATTATTAAACTTATAACATCATATTTTTGTTAGACTTGGTTCTTGTAAGTAATGATTAATAATTTAATATTAAATTCTAAAATAATCTGTCTTTGTTTTTCTTTATGCTAAATTTAAATTTTTTTTTATTACGTATGATATGAAGTGCTTGTTACTTGACGGAAAAAAATATATTGTGCTACATTTGTAAATAAATATAATATTAAAATTTTTTAAATTACTTGAATTTGCTTACAAAATTATGAAGCCCAGCAGCAATGTAACTATTTAAGAAAAGAAAATCAATTTGAACGGGAAATTATAACAATCAGACATTTTCACAAAATTTTATAAATTTAATTTAAAATTAATTTATCACATCATTAAAAATAAAATTAATTATTTGAATATATCTTTAAAAGTAACTAGTTACTTTTGGCAGTTACATTTCAAAAATTATAACTAGTTACAATTATTTTTTAGCCAAGTAACTAGTTACCTTAACATCACTAATCTTTACTTAAATATTTTTATATACAGTTGCAGTTTTAAGCTCCTACCCGATCCCATAATTTTTTTGTTCAATCAATGATTTGGGTTCTATTCGAATTATTTTGCTTAAAGAAATATAATCAAATTTAAATTGTTATCATGTATATATATGAAAAAATAATAATAAGGGGAGGAGTAAGGATATGGAAACCCCAAACTATTGTATATGACCAAAACAATCAACCGCACGTTAAACATTCGCTTCAACATCCAGATTTAAAAGTTTAACTTTTGCTAAATATTTTCTGTATGCAGCATTTTTTTGGATTTAATATAGCATCAATGTGTTTTCTCCGGAAATATAATTTTTCAACTTTAAATCATTTTTTGTGGACATTTTTTTGAATTTATTTTACCGGAAATTAATTCCAGTATTTATAGAATACTTATCCTATGATTTTTGAAAATTTTGCCACGAACCTTTGAACAACCTTTAGTTTATTAATTTTTCCATAATTTTTTTTAATACAAATCGTAAATAACACAACATTTTATGGTAAAATGTTAATTCATAGGGTAAGTATCTAAAAGTTTTTTAAAATTTAAAAAACGGTCTCAATAAATGATATAAAGTTGAAAAATTTACATATTGGCGTTAACATTATAAAACCTAATAGATTAGGGAAATTTTAAAAGATGACCACTATAGGAATTAGGTCGGGGTGTGGTAATATTGATTAAGAAAGGTTAGAATTGAAATAATAAAATTAATCAAGTTGAACGAGAATTTTATTTTTAAAAGGAATAGGTATTGTATCCGAATTATTAATATAACAATCGCTGGCATCTAGTCAAAATTAAATATATCTTTTTGTTCAACATAAATTATGCCGATTTTTATATATCTATAATATATCATCAGTCAGTCAAATATATACTTTTTAAATCAATTGAACATATAATATAAAATTAACGCCTCAAACAGTAAAATATAAACTTTTAAAATCAGCTGGACATAATATAAATATGAAATTAACGCCTCAGACAGTAAAATATAAACATTTAAATGTTATTTTACAATCATGTAACTACAGCCACCTTTTTATGCAGACCCCTTTCTTATCTAAACTTATCTTAACTTAACCATTTTATCTCGGACAAACTTCTAAATTAGTAATGCTATGATTTTATTCGTTAACATTTTTGCTTATTAATTTTTTTAGGAACAATTTACTAGTTCTTGTTCCTCATACAATCCTAGCAAAAATATTTCTGACACACATCAAAACGTAGCGTCCTCTCAACCGATAACATTTGGTAGCTCAAGCAAATTATTCAATAATAGCGCTAAGCCATTCGGCTCTATTCTATTAGATTCCGAGGATAGGAGCGTGCAAAATATAGCGAAAAGCATCAATACGTTTAATAATAAAAGCAATAATGCAATGAATGATCAAGGTAACTTCGGAATGAGCAAGATAGGAGGAGGTCTAAAAGCCGTCGTTCATTCACAATACAATAGTCCAATAAATATGTATAGCCCGGAGAACGTTGTTGACGCTTATGAGGGACAGACTAAAGGAATTATCATGCCCGGAATGCAAAAGTTATTTCAATTATTTCGTTTCGTTGTGTATACTATGTTTAAGTGCGCAAAGAGACACTCTTGATATAGTGAGTGATAAATCAAGGATTAGTTCCATTATGTTAGGAAACAGATTTTTATTTATCAAACTCTCCGAAAAATTTCTCGCGAGATTTTTAAAAAATCAGATCAAAAGGAATCATAAATTTGTTCTAATCCTGCTAGTTTAAGTGAGTTAACGGTGTTTAATTAAACTCAAATAATTCATGCGCAAGTTTTGTGACCCAAATAAAGGGATCATACATATTCACTTATAAATTTTTTTAGTAATAACATTTTGTCACTTAATTTGAACAATTTTATATCAAATTTTTTATTATAAAATACTGATTGATGTTTAGTTATTTACATTAACACTAAGTAAAATTAAGACAAATAAGAAAAATTTATACAAAATAATAGTGTAATTTATAATTTTAACATAGCTAAATTTTGTATTTTTTTTTCAAAGCCATTAAAATACTAAATTTTTTTACGTAGATCTTTCATCGTTTCTCTAGTTCTCAGCACTTTTTTTAGTGTAGAGAACAATATACCTCACAAGAAGTCGTTGATACTCCAATGATTATGACTGTTAAGTAGCATTAAAAATTTTTAAATGCAAGATTATAATTTTTATCCACCCATATTTAAAATTATGTGTTTCTTTAACTGCTGCAGCTAATAATCCTTTTGATTTCATGATGTAACTTCTCCACATTTAAAAATCAGAGTTAAGGGGGGACAATGTGTAAATCTATCTAAAAAACGATCTACAATAATTTCATAATAATTCTTTTTTAAAGAACTCCAATTGGAGTCCTTTTCGCAATCAAATTGCAATGGTATCGCCTAAAATATCTTGAAGATTTGTAGGCTTTTAACGTACTCTTGATAATGTTCGAGGCGTGAGGTTAAATTTTGATATAGGTTTATCCATAATATCAAATCTAACGAATTAACACTTTTTTTTATATTTATTAATATATTGATTGTAGTACCTATACAATTTTTAGCACCCACTATATTAGTACCTACTGACTGTAGATACTTATTTAGTGAATCTATTGTTATTAATACTTCATTAATTAAAATGACCAATATAATGTAATTTATATTTCATATTAGAAAAATAAAATAATTGATACGAGATTCTAAATCACCAGTCAACCTCTGGTTTAGAAGTCTCTTAAGAGTATGACCTGAATACTTACAGGATACGTTAAAACGCCTAAAAAAATTATGTAATGCATTAGATAAATTAAAAAAATTAGAAATAATAACAATATTATTATATCAAGGCACTTTTTTTATTAATTTTATTTTGGAACAGGGTTTTACTCCTCCATTTCGGCTAGACATGAAGTTTGCACCATCATATGTCTGGCATATTACATTCGATGAATTAATATAAATTCATTAAGTTGGTTTAAAATACAATTAATATGCCTTCAGCAGGAAGCCATTGTAAATTAATGATTTATTAAATTTCTTAATAAAAAAATATAACAAATAATTATGCTCAGGTTTAAACTGAGGCATCTTTTGTCTCATCAGTCTTAAGAAAAAAAAGCAACCCGTTGTTATATTTTTCTGATATATATTCCAGCACCATAGCATAATTTAGACTTCGTTTTGAATTTAGGGTAATGTATATTGTGCATTTTTGGGTATTAATTTTATAATTTTATTAAATTCATGATCTTTTTGGATGGTGTAATAAATTATGTTTTCATCTTTTGTAGCATCCGTAATTTTTGTTGAACTACCACGAAAAGGTAGCTCCTGAATGTTAAGAAATAGCATCAAATCAAATATTGGTTTAAGATAATAATGATTACGGTTAATTTGTAATTGTTGTTATCTCAGTATCCTTATTTATATTAAGATAGTTATGTCATATTGTTATTGAATTTAAATGAGCTTTAGAGCTTTCATGTTATAGTAGTCCCTTCTTTGCAGCTAGCTCTTTTTTCAAATTGCTGATTCCCTTTCATCAAAATTCGTCACTTGAGCAACTAATGAGTGAATGGACATTTTATAACTAATGTTTTATAGGTATGTTTCTGTTTATTATTGTATAAATTAAATAAATGATATTTTTCTAAAAATTTTGTTGTATTTTCATTTAGATTTAATTGTTAATTTTTTTTTCTCTTTAGCTTTCACCTTTTCTGGTGGTAAGCTCCTTCAACATCTCTCTCCACTTTATGTTATTCATACAATCTCTTTTATCTATTTTATACTTCTTTATATTGGCTCTAACTTTATGGCCCCATTGAAGTTTTGGCCTTCCTCTTTTACGTTTGCCCATCACTTCCAAACTTTCAACTTTATTTCCTATGTAGTTCATAGGCCTTCTCATTGTGTGCCCATACCACCTAAGTCTGTTTACCATTAACTTAGTCTTAATGGGCACTACCTTTAAACTATTTAGTATTCTTGTACTGCGCACCTTATCCTTTCTTGTTACCCCAGCAATCATCCTCAGCATTCTCATCTCCATAGTTTGTAGACTTCTCTCGTCTGATTCTTTGGTTGGCCATGTTTCCGAACTATATAGAATAGTTGGTTGTACTATGGAACTGTAGATTTTTCCCTTTAATTTGTGTGGGGTTCTTTTGTCAAATAGCACTCCAGATAAAGATCTCCACTTTAACCACCCTTGATTAATCTTATTCTTTATCTCTTTTTCTATTGTGCCGTTTGTTTGTATAGTGGAGCCCAAATATTTTCAGCTTTCAATTGCGGATATCTGCCAATCATTTATATCAATACTCTCCGTTTCATCTCCTCCTATCACCATATACTCCGTCTTTTCTCTATTTACTTTTAATCCGTGCGTTTCTAGGATATTTATCCAATTCACTAACCTTTCTTTCATTTCATCCTTGGATTCGGCAAGTATCACAATATCATCTGCAAATATCATATTCCACGGGACTGTTTGAGGTATAGACTGTGTTAATACATCTATTACTGTAATGAAGAGAAGTGGGCTGAGAGCCTACCCTTGATGAACTCCTTCGGCTATTGTGAAGCCTGCTGAAGTACCTGTTGTGCTACGGACCATTGTTGTCTGTCCCATATACATATCCTGTATTATTCTTATATATTTTTCGGGAACTTTTTTGTGGCGTAGCGCCCACCAGATAAGTTTTCTTGGGATTCTATCGAAGGCCTTTTCTAGATCGAGAAAGACCATGTGTAGCTTTTTGTTCTTTTCCCTGTATTTTTCACTCATTTGCCTAATTGCATGGATAGCATCGGTTGTTGATCTTCCAGGCATAAAGCCAAACTGTGTCTCTCCTATTTCGATTATATCTCTTAATCTTTTTTCTATTATTTTTTCATATAGTTTTAGACAGTGTGACATTAATTTTATGCCCCTGTAATTTTGACAATTGTGTGGATCCCCTTTATTTTTGAATATAGGAACTAGATAGCTCTGCCTCCATTTTTGGGGAACCTCTTCATTTCCAAGTATTTTATTGTACAGATTTGTGAGGAGATGTATTCCATCATCTCCTAGTGCTTTAAGGCTTTCTATTGGAATATCGTCTGGACCCCTAGCTTTGTTGTTTTTCATATGCTTGAGGCATGTGATTATTTCTTGTTCTGTTATAGGTTGTACAAGGTTTTGACAAGGGGAGTGTTCATCGAGATGCAATATGTGGGAATTAAAGTTGAGAAGCTCCTGAAAATATTCTTTCCATCTATTCATTATTTCTTTTTCCTTTATTATCAATTTCCCATCTTTATTTTTGATTACTTTCGGAGCTCCGTTTATATCCCTAGAGTTCTTTTCTCGCTGTTTGGCTAATCTGTATATTTTATTTTGCCCTTCTTTGGTATGTAGATCTTCGTACATGTCATCGTATGCCATAGATTTGGCCCTAGCCACCGCCTTTGTAGCTTAATCTCTTGGATTTTTTGTATCTTGACTTGTCATCTGCATTTTTGGATTTGTATCATATTTTATAAAGGGCTTTTTTCTCCTGTAATAATTTTTTTTAATTTGGGCCCTGTGATAGCATATTTAATAATGATATTGGCACTATTAATATCCTTATTACTCTACCCATTACGTCATGTATATTAAAATTGTGGCACTTTGAAAGAGTCAAAAACTATTTTTGGTCAGCAATGAGTGATGGTAGGTCATTTTTTAGGTTAAGTGTCCATCGATCGAATCATAGACAAAGAATAACTAACTGATAAATTTATGAATATACTATTGCAATCTCCTTGGCATATGTAAAATATTGAAATCGTTTCTAAATTTTTAGGATGACATTGATCCATAATTTGGAAGTTTTATATAAATTATTAGTCCTTATAGACAGAACATTATTAAACCATACCAAATAACCTAAAAAATTAAAATTATAAAGTATGCAATAAATAATTTCTAAACCACGAAAAATAACAGAAAAACATACAAAACAACGTAAAATGTGCAAAAGCAGAGAAAATATTGGAAATGTTAAACTACGAAAACAAATTAATAAGTCGCGATGACAAAAAGGCAATGCATGCAAATTGATCCAAATTAATAGAAAATATGCAAACTAATGGAAATGCAATGCATGCAACGCAAGATATGCAAAAAGAACGCAAAATATCTCACAAGCAAAATGACTCAAAAGCACGGAATGAATCAGAGCACATTAAACGACATAAAATATGCAAAAGGAACGCAAAATATAAAGAAATTAGGCAAATCAAAATAATGTAAGATAAAAATAAAACATTTTTGAGGATATAAAATATGCAAAAATGACACAAAAAATATATGAATATGTGACGCAAATGCGTATAGCACATTAAATCATAGAAAAAGAAAATAATGGAATACCACAGAAAACACAAAATGCGTTAAAAATATGCAAATATAGGCAAAAATGACAAATTTAGCAAAATGTCGCAAAATTCATAAGTTGAAGAGAGCAATAAAAATAACTGGCGTTATTTTTTTTAAATAAAAAATATCTCTAAGGATATTTTTACCCTCCCCTGAAAAAATGAGGGGTAGAAGGAGTTTGCTAATTTAAATTTTTAGGAGGTAATAAAGTTACTGGTTCAGAGGGGTGGGGGTCGAAGTGCCTGAACCCTAAATAAACCTTATAGATCATCTAGGAAAGTCATTATAACAGTGTTTTGCAGGTATGAGAAAATAATAGTGATGTTGATATTTAAGTAGGGAATGGGCAATTGAAGGAGAGAAAAATATAATTATAACCTCAAGGAATAAAATAAAACTAGATTTTGAGAATAAAAAAAAAATATATACACTAAAAATGATTTTATAATAACCTGTTTTAGCTCAATTAAATTAGCTGCGAATTTTCTCGCCCAATTTGTGGATTAATTTTATTCAAAATATAGGTCTTTTAAAAAAAATTTAGACGCGAGCCCGGCCCAAAATATTTTTAAATATTGCAGGGCTTTACTATAGGACTCAGACCAAAAAAAGAAATATTAATTTTATGGTATTTTGTCGTATTATTCATTTTATTAGTTGTTTATTTGTCGTTTTCAAATTTTTTTTGTTTAATTGTTTATTTATCGCTATAAGTATATTGATGTTTTTTAATTATTTATTTATCGCTAATATGTTTTAATTATTTGTTTATCTCTATTATATAGTTTTTTTATAATTATTTTATTAATAGTTATTATTTTTCTTTAATAGAAATTTTTATTATTTATACAATTTACTTAAATAGATTTAACCAGGGATTCGAACCCGAACCCGAAGAAGAAAACCCGGGTTTTTGAAAAAATCTGAACCCGAACTGAACCTGAACCCCGTTTATAAAATTTTCAAAACCCCGAACAGAACCCGGGAATTTTATTTGAACCCAGGTTCAACCGGGTGTATTGTTTAAAATCATGATATTTGCATAATTGTAAATAAAAATATTAATAATTTAATTGAGATTTTATAATATTTTCAAATTTCCAATTAAGTGAAATGTAAAAAAATTTAAACAACTTAATCCATTTACGCCATTTTTAAATTTATTCTCAAAGATTCCTATTGGAGTGTTAATAAATTTTAAACAATTAAATTCATTTATGCCACTTTTTTTAAAATTTTTAACTTATTCTCAAAGAAGATTATTAATAGAGGAAAATGAAAGTGAACAAGTCAAAGTAAAAATTATTATATTAGATATTGTTAATTTAAAGAAATATGTCTAAATAAAATTTCTAAAATTGATACATGACTATGCTTTGTATTTTTAACTATATTTTGCCTATAAATAAAATAAAAAATTAATTTTTTATACCAAATCTATGTCTAGTTGTTCAATTATGGTTTAAATATAGAATTTTTTTTTATTAATTCAAAAATTCTTAAACCCGAGCTGAACCCGGAACCAAACCCGGGTTTAAAAATATTTCCCTCAGCCGAACCGAACCCACCTATTTTTTTTAACTTTAAACCAAACCCGAACGGAACCCTAGAAAAAATTTTGCCGGGTTCGCATCCCTGGAATTAACCTTCAACTTTACTAGCATTTGGTCCCCAATATTAAATCCTTGGCTTACATAAAACATTTATTACTCCCTTATTTTAGCTTTATAATTTATTACGCAACTCGATCAAATTCAACAACTTATAATGTAAACCAATCTCAACAACTTTAATTTAGACAATATAAATTACTTAATTAACAACCTCAACTTAATACAGATTTATTTTGAATACAAAATCAAAACAAAAAATATATAAACCAGAAGAATTGCTAGTGATGCAAAATCGTTTCAAGCCGATTTTTAAAAGTGCCGAATTCAGTATTTTAGCCAAAAAATATTGCCTAAGCCTCGGGATTGCTACTAGATGTCTAAACCTTTATGTCAACGATGAGCAATATCTTCAGGCTTGTAAAAATTTTTTTGATTAAATACTAAGTTAGCCATTATAAATCGCTTCAAGTGAAGCGATTTTGCATCACTAATCATAACTACAAAAAATTATTATTTTAATTATTATAATAAATTAAATATAATATTGTATTGTTTACAAAAAATAGTCTAAATATTAATAAAGCTGACAAATCTTCGCAATTACAAGATTCTGCCGTTTACAAATTACTTCACGATCAAAAATGTAATTTATTTTTTAACAATACAATAATAAAAAACCGGTGTTGCAAGAGGGTAGAGGAAGTAAAAACTTGCTTATCCGGTGGTGTAATTAGGCCCAATAACTAGGTACATCGCTTTTGAAACTTTTTTTATTAAAAATGATTTTGAAAAATTCATATCTCAATTCCTATTATACAGTATATATGAAATATGGAATCTCATTTAAATAGGATTTTACCATAATATTAAATATTTACATAATATAATATCATCGCAAACAATAAAAAATTGACATGACTAAATGATAAGTGCCAATGCCAACGACACGACACTGTTTATTAACATGATATTTATCAATAAAATTATTTATGAGATTTAAATATAATAAATACTTTCAAAAAATTAAAAAATCGTAGCTATACCCAAACACAATACCATACAATCTGGAAGTTTTAAAAGATTAGAGGATTACGTTACCTCGGATAATTCAAATAGTTATATTATATAATTTCACATAACATTTGCTATGGATTAAATTTGATTATTTTATTGTGTTTTTCAGTTTTGTGATCGCAAATTGTAAAAATAATTTAATGCGAAGAGAATATAAACGATAGTTTTTAGCATTACTGTATTTGTTTGCATTATATTGTTTTTTCTCCCATAAGATATAATCAGAAACCTGCAGATCCATCTTGGATCGGCCAGCCCTCGGGCCATAAAATTATATAATTTTAAGAATCCAAATGAGCCTAAAAATAAAGTTATAAACTCGGGCTAGGCCGAAACTTTTTTTACAAAGCCCAGATCCGGTTGATTTTAAAATTTCGGACCAGTTTATAAAATGATCATTTTAAAAAATTAGGCCGGGGTTGATTTTTTTTAAAAAATCCGAATTTTAACTTCTGTATGTCTTTAATATAAATAAAACAAATTTAAAGATTATTTATTGATTTGTGTAAATATTGAATTTTTAAAATTTACATCTCAGGCGATAGTAAGACTCAGCAATATCAGTATGAGTCTCCTCAGCAAGTTTCTTGCGGCTCCACTCCATCACCTTCTAAATTTATGGAATGCGTAGAGTGCTCAAGACCTATCATGTTTATTTTAAATATTTTTTATTATGTCTATTTTTAATTTAGAAAAGTCGATAGAGAGAAGGAAAGAAGGAAGAGGAAAGAAAGGGATGCGAAGGAAAGGTAGGGATGAAAAGAAATAATTTTTCTTGACCACATTTTCTTTATTTTATACTTTCATACATTTTAACAAGAGGGGTTTTCGTCAAAGCCAATGACAATCGTTATTTCCATTCGGACTGTTTCAAATGCAGCACGTGTGGAAATTCCTTGAAAAACAAGGGATATTTTTCTATTCACAACAAATTATATTGCGATGTCCACGCTAGAGCCCACGTTGGGCATGGTGTTAACATGAATGGGAATTTGAATGAAATCAATAGTTTTAGTCCCAATATAAGCAATAAACAAAATTCTAATTCTTATCCTACTGAAAACCAATATTCCCAACAAACAGCGAACACTAGGTTTATATATATATAATTAATTTTAAATTTATATTTGTTAAATATTTACACTTTCTTGACCTTGGATAAATATTTACATTCGTAGAATGAGTTTTTTATATGATCTTTACCCCCCCCCCCCCATTCAATGGGTCATAATGAATCACTTAATGAAAACTCTATTTTTAAAGAAAATGATGTTTTATACTGAACATCTTGATTGTATCACATAGCATTCCAATTGATTGTTAATTTATCAATTTAACTATAAATAATCACTTCCTTTATAAAAAAATTGTAATTTTTTTCTGACCTTTTTTTAAAGGTCCGAGGTTGTTAACTGAATGTTATTTCTTGATTTTTTATATATAAAAGCATTAGAAAAACAAATAAATTTTTTTTAAGTTCCGAGTCCGGCCAGGCGAATAAATGAAAATCAACGTACGGCTCGGCTCGATCGACTCCAAAAAATGTCTACCTGAGTCTGACCAGATCTAACTTTAAATTATTTTAAAAAAATGAAATTAATGAATGCAGTATTCTAAAGATGAGCATCTCCTTTATATGAAAATATAATTTCCTCCCTCGAGTGATATTTTAAAATTAAGAGAAGTGACAGAAAATTAAGTGAAATATTGTCACATTTTTATATGCAATCTACTGCAGGTTACCAACCAATACTCTATTTTATTATGAAAGTATATATTAAGAGTACCCGGCTTTTGCCCTTTTCCTTCATAAAAATATCACGGACCGTTCCGAAAAACCTTTTTTTTAATGGGTCTGGCGTCATGACCAGGATTAAAATAATAGGTGTTATGATCGCTTAATTTTATCTGGATTCTTTTGAGCATTATTTTTCTTAAAAATAATCCTAACCTTGGAAATAGAATATTATGTCATTTATATTGGCTATGATAAAATTTGGTATTACTATAAAAAATATTAACTTATGAAAAAATTTTTTTTATTGAATTTTAAATTTAAATCGAAAACAGATGTTTTCAATATAACTTTTATATTTTGTGAAAAAATAAATCAATCAAATCGATTTCAAATTTTTTATATTAGGAAATATTAAAAAAAATATATATATTGTAATTCTAGAGAATCTTCGAAACCATATTCTATCATAAATTCAGTACCTCGCTATCCGTTACAAAATCATGAGTATTTTAATCAACCGTCACAACAAAACAATATGAATCCCAATTATAGAGCGCCTTGGAGAAATCAATCAGGTTAATTCAAATTATGTTTTATTATTCATCCGTACTAGAAGTCTGCATTAGGCGTTTTTGGACCAAAAACCCGCCCACCCACCCAATATTTAAAAAAATTTTGCCCGCCCAACCCGCCCATAGTTTTCAAAAATATATACCCGCTCGCCCCGCCCATTTGTCTAAAATTCCTTACCCGCCCTCCCGCCCGTCCATTAGTCTAATATTCCTTACCCGCCCGCCTATTATTTATAAAAAAATTTAACCCAAGAGCCGTTGGCTCAAGCCCCAAGTCCACTTATAAAATTTAATAATGGCCATTCTAATTTTTTAAGCATCTAATAAAAATATTTCAGCATTACACCTCTACAAAAAGTTTATAATTTAGGAAATTAATTTAAACATAAAAAAATATTCAATTTAAATTATGAACAACTTATTTGATCAAATTGATCAAATAGAATATTTATGAAATAAATATAAATATAAAATTGATATTATATGTAATTATAATGCAAAAATAATAATGAATCGACATTTTCTGGATTTAAACACGTTCTTCTTTGTTCTAAAAACCTTCCAGTAATGCTAAATCCTCGTTCAGAAGAAGCACTAGTTGCAGGAATTGCCAATATTTTTCTTGCTAATCTTGATTGCTTTGGCAAATCTTTTATCCCATCCGGGTATTACAATAATGAAATCCATTACGAGACATTATATATGGTGGGAAAAATTAGATAAAGATATTTAAAAACTAGTAAAGTGTTCCACTTAAAAAAACGGTTGGTACAATAAAAAAATAAATATTGTTATTGATCATTTAATTAACTATGATTTTTCTTTAGTTTGTTTTTGAACAAAAATTTTAAACTTCCTAAACCCACCCGACCATTGTTTAAATTTCTTAACCCGCCCGCCCGCCCATAGTTTCAATTCCGCCCGCCCATTCTTAAAATTTTTTTACGTGCCCATCCGCCCGCCCACTTAGATAAGCGGGTGTGGGCCGGCGGGCCGAAACCCCGCCCAATGCAGACCTCTAATCCGCACTCATAATATTGGATTTAGATATAAGATTTAAATTGACTAAAAGAATAGAACAGAAGCATCTAGAAGAATCGGAATATTATCTTACAATTTTTTTCACATCAATAATTTAACTATTTTTGGTATTTTGAAAATGTGCACCACCCAATGTTTATATTATGATTATGTATGCAGAGTTGTTATAGTATCTAGATATAAAAAATGTGATATCGGTATCTAGACACTAGACATATCTTTTTTATTATTTTGCTTTTTCCGGTCATGGGTTACTTTATTTGAATATTTACTGATATGATATGTTGTCAAAATGTAGTAGTAAATAATTAATTTTTTAAAAAGGTAAAATAGATAAAGGTGAAAAATGTAGAAATAGAATTTACGGGGAAGGATGGGGGATAAAAAAAAGGAAGCTTAGAAAATGGGAGGTTATTCAATGGAAGAGATGAAGCTTAGATAGTTAGAGCGAATGATGGCGGTAGCAAGTCTTTGGCGTAAGAAGAGGGATTTCTTAGGCTGATCGGTTTTTTCGCGGATCCGTTTGCCTAATTCTTTGAAAAAACGTTGGGCTTTGCTATCGAAGGTGGTGAGAATAAAGCAGGCTATGGGTATGAATAAGAAAGAAGGGTCTAAGGAACTGTACTTTATGGTTTTCCGGGATTCAGCGAGGGCGAGGGCATCGACGTTATGGTTAGATGGTGCATTTGGGTCAATGCAGGTAAAGTCCCAAACCAGGAGCTGACCCCTTGACCAGGGGATCAAGGACATTCCATCAGGACGTTTTTCATTGGTTCTAAAAATTCCGGTTGGTTCTAGTCTAGATGGAATGCCTCCTGATTTGAGGGCGCGTAAAATGATGTCATTGCATTTGGTGTGTCGTGAAAAACGGCCACGACAAAAGCGACAATGGAGGCAGTGTCTACCCTTGCTGTCGACACTGGTTTCGCAATGTTTGCATTGGTACGGAAGAACAATTGAGCCGTAGTCCAATAGCAAATCTTAGCTTGTCAGCGGAGAGCAACAAATCGAGGTTGTTGGAGGGTATGGTTTCCAGAAACTCGTAACCAGATCCTTGGTTCAATTGGTGAAAAACTGTGAGATCGTCGTCGTTATTAAAAATAATAATATTTGTATTAATATTTAATAATATGCCCGAGTTTATTTCATTACAAAAACTAACTAGACAAATTTTATTTTACGCAATGGATTGAGTAAATTTTATATTATAATTTATTTTATTTATAATAATTTAAAAAGTATATATCATAATTTTTAGACAATCTGAAATAATTTAATATTCGATTTTTTAAATTTCTTATTTGTACAAAGTAATTTTATAGTACAATAAAATATAATATCATATGTAAAAAAAAATATAAGTTTTGACACATAATATAGAAAAATTTTTTAAATTATGAGTGTCGAGATTTTAATATATTTAATGATTATACAAATAAAGTTGTTATTCATTAAATATAACAACCACTCTACCGTCAATTGCTCAGGTTGAAAAAGTTAGTGTGGCTATATTAAAATCTAGCAATTATTTATAATCATTTAATTATATATTTTGATATGAATTATTAAGATTTAACAACAATCATTATTTTAATTATATATTTGTATATAGATGTGAAATAAATTTTCCAGCTCACTACGAATTGTGAATTTTAAAAGTAGAATTTAAATTCTTATACACACCTTACATAAAGTATAATAAATATTGTATCTGTCTAGATACATTTTAGGTTATGTAGATATATCGAGATCCATTTTAGATGATATATATATTTCTAGATCCATTTAAAAAGTATTTTATAACAACTCTTTATATGTGTATAAACAATAGTACTAGTAGCTCATTTGAAAATGCGCTCCCTACTAATGTAGATTACGGGGTTTTGTTAAAATAATGTATTATTTAAATAATTTTGCTAATATCCTTTCATTATTTTAAATATAATTCATTGCATTATAGATTGAATTGAATTTTTAAAAAATTATTAATTCATATTGTAACAATTCTGTTTGGTTTAGGTTAATTGTTCACCTTTTTTAAAAGTATGAATTTTATATTTTTATTTCTTAAGGCTAACCTCAGAATTCCTCGATTATAAGGGAGTAGCATGAAACAATTAAAAAATTAATAAATATATGATTGCAAAGAATATTAAAAGCTCGATTGTTTTCCATTGTTTAAATAATGCCTAGAATATTAAAAAATAATATTTTGAATTAAACATTCTTTCTCTTTTTTGGAAAATATTAATATAATATCGATAAGTTTTTAACAGGCACCCTGTGGTATTCAAAAACAGGTTTGAGCCTAAAAAATGTCGGGTTGAGCTCGGGCCTAAAAAATTAAAATAGAAAACTTTTATCAATATAAATCGACAATAAAAATTCTTTCGGTAACAAAACAATTAGTGAATTTTGTTTTATTTATCTTTTTTTTATAATAATTACTATTTAACTTACATTTTTTAATTATAGAAGTTTATTCGATCTTCCTGATTTTATCGTTTGGATTTCTGCTCTCAAAAATCTTATAGTTTTTAAAGATGTTTCCCAATTAACTTTTTAATTTTATATTCATCTAATATGTAAAAAAAATCTGTTGAATATTTTATGGAACGGCTGAAATTAAAATTTCAAAAATTTACCTTTAAAAATTTTCTATATTGAATTTTCGTATTGAGGGTTTTGCTCATATTATAACCAGTTTTCTTATTATTTCTTTTCTATGTCATAGTTAGATTTTATATTAAAAATTTTAAGGGGATAACGCACCCTCCATGCCTCTTAACGATAGAAGTACGGCAGACTTTTCTATGCAAGTTCGTTCTAGCCCCATACCTAACACTAACACCGTTAATAGTCAGGGTATAATCGGAGCCGCAAATGCTGGATTAGGGGGCGGAGCTGCTGAAAGCAATAAAACTATGATGAGACGAGGTTCATTTTCGGTCGTATTTAAACTAGTTCTGTAACGTAACATTGTTAATTTTTAAGAAAAAGGAACCGCATTCGTTATTTGTTTCAAAAAGCAACAAAGTTTTTTTGAATAACAGTAACTCAAAACGCTCGTTGCTTTAAATTTTTTCTTGAAAAGTATGGGAAGGAAATATTTTTTTTAAATTTTATAAATAATTTAAGCCAAATTTTTAATTCAGATCAACCACCAAAGTTCTTTATTTTATTTATTATATTTTTGTTGATAAATTTATAGTCAAGATTGTTAATCTAATTAATAACAAAAAATATATCTGAATTTATTTTAATATTATAATTTATTTTACAAAGAATTATGCCAATAGTATTTATTTCTTCAGATTAAAAATGATTTAACTCTGCTCTGCTTAGTATGAAACATTTTTTACACAAAGAAAATTGAAAATTAAGGGCAACCTATGTCTACTTTCAGTGTAGATTATTCTCTAATTCAAATATTTCAAACTCGATGTCCAGCAGCTCAGTGGCTCCTACAACGGGGGGGGGTCCGAAGCCGTATCACGTCAATACCGCGAAACTTTTACCGCGAAATGTATTATAGCGAATGCATTATCGCGAATGCATTATCGCGAATGCATTATCGCGAATGCTTAATTTTTTTTTAATTCTTTTGATTATCAACCACCAGAAAAGGTGAAAGTTAAAGGGAAAAAAATAGAATTTAAAGCTATAATAGCCAATGAATACTTATTATATCATATTTTTAAGCATAATATAATTAATTCGGCCTAATTCTACTAGCCCCTAGTTACTGATATGATTAACCCTTTCCAGCGCTAAAAAAATATGTTGATAATTTATAAAAAATTTTAAATAAGATTAGATGAAGGGGAACATTGGACTAAAGCTAAAAAATTTCTGATGCCCATAATTAGGGGAGACCGGTGTTATAATGAACCCAGGGTTATAGTGAGAGTGGCTTTATTTTCTAGAGTATTAAACTCTAAGAGATAATTTTTTACCAAAACTATATACTTATATATTGCATATGCGGCTATAATTTTTATTTCTATCGGACCTCTTGAAGAATTTTTATAATGCTTTATATCATTCGTACCTTCAAAAGTAACTTTTTACTACTTTTTAAAAAATAAAGATTAATATAGAATTTTACCACACAAAAATCATCTTATATAAAAGAAAAAATCCTATTTTATAGAATAACAAAAATCATCTTATATAAAAGAAAAAATCCTATTTTATAGAATAACAATTTACCCGAACAAAATTGATATTATAAATACTTCAAAATATGATCTTAATCAAAGTGGTGCTACTGGGGCTATTTTTATGGGGTTAGGTCGAACCTTTTTTTTTGCTATTTTTTAAAAATTTGACATGCAAAAAAATCCAAGGAGAGACCAACTAAAAGAAAAAAAATCGAAAAATGTTATTATATGATAAATAATTGTTTGGTATACAAATAAATTATACCAAGCATAATAATCAAGACTGCTTTCAATGTCAGTTATTAGTTACATGGCTTTGCAATTTTATTGTTTTTTTATTTGCAAAGATTGTGAATGTTTTAAATGATTTTATATAACACTTTTATGTTTTAAATCATTAAATATATCCTAATAAAAAAATATATAACTTTTATATATGGAAAATTAAGCAGAGTTTATAATAGCCTCGACCAAGGGCTTGTTCGTCCCCGGGTAGGGTTCACTCTGTTGCCAAAAAAAATTCCAGGAAAAATGATATTTTGAAAAAATTATTAGAGATGTATTTTTGAAATTTAAACATATCATAAAACTAATAGAGCTGAACAAAATGAGATATTTTTTATTAAAAATGATTAAGTACTTATAATTTTCTTAAGGTTTGCCTTTAGGGTTCGCCATAACCCCGTTCTCCCCTACAAGTTTTCAATAAATTAAAAAGAAAAAACTTGATGTTTAATATTTAAAATGATTAGATGAAAAAGAGAAATCTATTTTATTACTTAGAATCTTTTTTATATATTTTGAGTCAAAAAAAAAGAAAAGCCTTAGCCTTAATTTCAATAAAAAAATGTTTTTAGAGCCAATCCCCATTTTAACTTAATTTTCAGATTCAACTAAGTCAGTCGAAAAGTCGATAAATATAAAATTGTAACTTTCTTGAAACTCCATTCGCGATATGATAATGCATTCGCATTCGCTATAATGCATTCGCTATAATGCATTTGCGATAATTCATTCGCTATAATGCATTCGCTATAATGCATTCGCTATAATTCATTCGCTATAATGCATTCGCTATAATGCATTCGCTATAATGGATTCGCTATAATGCATTCGCTATAATGCATTCGGTATAATATATTCGCGATAATTCATTCGCTATAATACATTCGCTATAATGCATTCGCGGTAATATATTCGCGATAATGCATTCGCGATAATTCATTCGCTGTAATGTATTCGCTATAACATTTTCGCGGTATTACATTCGCGCTAATACATTCGCTATAATATTTTCGCTGTATTATATTCGCGGTAATGCATTTGCTATATTATATTCGCTATAATGCATTTGCTGTAATGCATTCGCTATAATATCTTTTCGCGGTAATCGACATTCGCGATAATACATTTCGCGCTAAAATTTTCGCGGTATTGACATGTAACCGTCCGAAGCAACTGCTTCTAAAATTTGTGTGGGGGTACTTTTTTAAAAAAAATTATTTTTTTGTTTTGCTGCATCCATCCATAATCAAGTGATCTCTAGATGAATATAATAAGACCCCCCACCCCCACTTTTTACTTAATTTAATATGTATTGACCGAAATTTTGGTCGATGTTTTGTAAATTAGGTTGTTATCCAAGATTTCTTGTCATAAAATTATTTTTCTAATTTCAAAATATGCCCAAAAATATTAACCAAAAAAATACAAATGCTTAATTAAAAATTACACATCTCATAATATAACAGATGATAAATGGACAGACCACATTAGAAAAAGACATGGTGGGCTAAATTTTAACGATATAAAGAAAAGCTTTGTAATAGTAGCTTTTTTACATATTACAATTTATAATTCCCCAGAAAGAATGTGTGGACAATAACCGTTCTATTATAAGAATAATAATACGATGTCTAGGTTATTTAATATCTCGTAACCAAGCCTTCTAGGGAATAGGCAACAAGAAGGCAATATGATGGGCCTTAATAAACTACTTGCAGATTCCGAATTTGTTGTCAAAATGTATTCACAACAAAATGAAGAAAGAAGAAGGGAGAACAAAAATAAGGGATTAAAATCAGGGTTTCGAACCGAACCGAACCGCTAAACCGGAATACACCGTTATGATTTTCTGAACCGTTACCTTAACCGAATCGTTATAAAGAAATTATAAAAAGAGCGAACCGAACCGTTATAAATATTTTGAACCGGTTTAAACCGGCTCAAAACGGTTTTAAAAAATAATTAATTTGAAATTATTAACCTTAAATTTGAAATTCAAATTTTCCTTGGGGGCATTTTTTAAATTGGTGATTTCTTTTCAAATTAAATATTTTTATATTATCAACATTATATATCAATTAATACCAAGTTTATTGTTTTTCTCTTTAAATACTTATTTTATTAGAGATTAGGCAAATTATCTGTTAATTAGATAAGATATCTTAAAACCACACATAATTATTCTCTAAATTAACAAGTTTATACAAGTTATTAATTAGCTTTTATAATAATACTTGCTAATAATTTAGTTAAAAATTAAATAATTCTACTATTAATAACTAACATCTAATAGAAATCAAGTACTTTTTACATTCATTTTTATATTATAGGTTTATTTTTTATCTCAATATAAAAACTTGGATCATAGAATTTAAATGACAATAAATAAAATGGTCAGCAATATTTTAATGATATAATAATTTTTTATTTATAATCATATTGTTTTTTTAAATTCAGAATTCTAATATTCATTTAAGTCATTATATTTAGATGATGATTTTTAAGATTTATTAAAGTCCCATGAAAGTCTTAATAAGAATAATTCTCAGGGCATAGAAAATTATAATAAATGTATAGAAAATTCGGTCATTTGATAATATAGAAAGATTAGAAAAAGATACTAATCTTTTGAATTAGTGGGAAAATGTAAAGAATAGTATGCCAGAACTTTATAAGTTAGCTATAACTGTGCTAGCCAGTCGCGTATCCAAGATTTTCTTATAGGGGCCCCCAAACCCCTTTTACCTGGCCTTCAGCCGGGTCTTATGTTTTAGCTATTATTTACTAATTCGTGCTTATGGATATTACAAGCCTATTTTTTATTATTTCAAGTTAGGTATATTATATTTAATAAAGTTTTTTTAAATGTAAAGGTTTTTTTAAATGTAAAGTTGAAATAAAGTGTAATGTCATTTTTTTTATAAAATTTGCTTTAAAAACTAGCCTTAGCTTAAATTCTCATACAATATAAGTAGAATATAATTTTTTTATTGAAGATATTTAACAGAGCTAACCCATTTAGCCGAGATTCAGTACTTCGTAAATATGTTTTCAACCTTCTCAAGTTGGAAAAAGTCTTTTCATTCGTGTAATAGGCAAACATCAAGAATATAAAACAACTTCGAAATATTAGGAAATTGAGCCAAGGTTTCTTTACACCGATTGAGCGCATCAATAGCATGCTCAGGTAAAATAGCTAAACGTAGTAAATATTTATACCACAATTCGAATTCATTGATTAAATTTATTCCAGTATCAATCTCATAGGAATAAAATTTTGCTAAATATTTAATTTTACCAATAGTGAGAAAACGAAGAAGGATCTTTGGGTAATAAAACTTTAAAATTGCTAAAGACTTGTTTTTTTTATCTAAAAACCGTACTTTTATTTGCGATAAAAAAGTATCTAAGAATGGGATGAAAATGGATATTTTATAATATCTTCAGTTGAGCCAATATTTATTTTCATCTCAATAATGGCCCAGGTGC